TCATGTAGTAAGAAATCTACTTCTTGTAGGAAGAAAAGGTGTAATAGCCCACAATGTATTGCTGTTCAGCTGGGCTGGTTAGCTCAGTTTGTTAGTGTGCCAGTGGGTTTGAGTTCTTCGTGGGCCATATGTGATTTTCTGTAGCAAGGACACAGCAATATTGGGTACAGGGACAGATTGGGAGAGGAGTTGCTAGAAGGTAGCTCAGCAGGAAGGGACCTGAGGGTGCTGGTGACAGCAGGCTCAATATGAGTTAACAACCAAGAAGACAACCTGTTTTTTGGGTACACTGAACAGCATAGCCAGATAGTTAAAAGAGATTCTCTTGCTATGTTTAGCACTGGTGTGGCCTCATCTTTAATATTGTATTCAGTTCTGGACTGCACAATATAAAAATGATGTTAAGGTCCTCAAAATCATTCAGAGGAGAGCACCAAAGCAGGACATGCCTCCCAGACCTGTCACCTATGAGAATAGGCAGGTAGTACTTGAGTTGTCCAGTCTAGAGAAGAGGAGGCTCAGAGGCAACCTCTCCCTGCTCTCTGCAGCTCCCTGAGGACGGTAAATGGACAGGGAGGTAGTTGATGCCCCACACTTGTCAGTGTTCAACATGCATTTGGATAACGCCCTTGGTAATTTTGGCTTTTGGTTAGTCCTGAAGTGGTCAAGCAGCTGAAGGATATGATTTTTGTAGGTATCTTTCAACTGAGGGATCTATTCTAAAGTAAGAATAGTTTCTTATAACGTGTTTCTTAGATTCATGCTAATTTAGTTTTGTTTGAGACCCTAAAAACAATCAGTAAGTGAGCCAAAAAGCACCCTACCAAACCTGCAGACAAGGCAGCACTGAGAAAGAGAATGATAGTAAATAAAAGATTTATTGAAATATATGTTTCTATCTCCAAGGGATACTCAGTCTGTTTGTGACAAACATAGTCAGTAACCACAGATGATGAAGTTGGTGGTGTACACTTATCTTCAGGGATATCACTGCGTTCCCAGTCACTACTGGAAAATTGCAGGTCCCAGCCACAAGTTACTGATGCTGTTTATTTCTGTATACACAGGCACAGTGCCTCTCCTCACATTTAGATTAAATCTGTCAGGCAATCAGCTTTTCCTCAATAGCCTTGGTTTCCATAGTTCTACCTGTTTTCTCCTAGATTCTCCAGTTGGATCACACACAGATTTCTGCACAGTGCTCAGCTGTATCACTAGCGGTGCCATAAGAAGTCTATTTCATTCCTTCGAGAGAACAGCCAGTTCTATTTATACAACCTACTAAGGACTCGTTTTTACAGCAGAATGAGAACTGACTCATTGCTGGCTTTTGAGTTGTCATGGCCACTAGATCTTTAACTGCATGTTCTGATCCCCATTTTGTCATTCGCTGACTTGTAGTTAGACAGCATAATCAGAGAAATTTGCACTTACCCTTCTGCAATTACAGTTTTGTGGTTTTTTTTTTTTTTTCCCATAGCCTTCTTAGAACTTTGCTAAGCTTTGAGTTCTAACACAGTCCCTCTCACTTTAACACTGCCTGCAAATTTAATAAGCACATTTGTTCTGTAATCCACTCTGTTAATCAAGTCAGTGAATAATTCTAGATTTTCAGAAACTTTTTAGGTAGCCCTTCAGAGAGACATGATGCATAAGATGCCTCTTTTTGCCCTGTTGTAATGCTATAACAGGATAGAAAGTATCACAATAAAGCAGGGTGACGAAGTCTTTAGCTACAGCAAATGAGAACAAGCCCAAATACAACAAATGCAAAAATGAAGGGAAAGAGCTCCCTACTTTCAAAAGACCTCAGGTAGGTAGAGATCTCCAGCAGATGATGCTCTCACCTCCACTGCCAACCCTTAAATGAAGTCTGGGAAGGGGTAGATCCTGGCTCCACCCCTTCCAATCACTGAGGTGCATTGCATTCACCTGAGCTCCCCTGGGTCGACCCTGCCTTCCCACCAGGTGCTCAACCAGTTTCAGGCCATGATAGCATTTCTTCTACACCTGTATTTTAATAGTTATTTGGAAGTTGTAACTCTTAGTTCTGTGTCATCAGATGTGCAGGCTTTGTTATAAAAGAGAGGCATAATTATGGCTACGTTTACAAGGCTATGTAAGTCTACGTCTATAGGACTACAATTAAGACTAAAGCTGTAAGGAGTAAAAAAACCCTTGGCCTCAGAATATTACCTTTAGAGGTACCTGAAACTGTTAGAGTCTGCAATTCAACAGTGTTGGAACTATGCCTTCTTCAAAAATACTAGATTTTTTACTTATTGATTTCTGCACTAAATGTTTGTGTGTGGGGAAAGCTCACAGAAGCTCACCATGAAGCCAAAATCTCTGTCTCTGGGGAGACAATTCCCATGGTATATTCCAAGTTAAATTTATTTTTTTGATAACGCTTACAGAATTTGTTACAGCAGAGATTTATTTTGGAAGCTGTGATGCTCAGCAGGATTTTACAGATGCCCATTGCACTCAGTGTGATGTAATAGAAATTATAAGCCAGTGTGGGCTTGGATCGCCTGTGCAGAAGTATGTTCAGCTATCCAAAAGCAGTACCAACCAGAGCAAGTAATGCTATTGGAAGCACTGACAATCACCATCAAATCACAGATGCAGGAATTTCCTACAATGTGCTGCCACTAAAACTATGTTTTATTCCTTGATTTAATCTCAGATGCTTGTTAGTATAGGAATGAATGTGATAAACCAGTGGCATATTTGAAAGACTACCAGAATCAGCTGAAGATGTCTTGCAAGGCCGGTTTAGTACAACGCACATGAATGAAATGCAGCCACCAGCAGGTGGAGAGATTTCAGTAGACATCAGTGCTGATCAACATGGGAGGTGCCAACACACAGAATTCAAAAGATGGTGGATCCAGTCAGGTTTTTTTTGCCAAGTGTTTAGAACAGATGGTGTAACTAGTAGGTTTTATTAAAAAAAAATGCAGTGTTGATGTAAAAAAAAAAAAAAAAAAAAAAAGTGTTACAGTATTAGCAGGACTGTAGTAGCTCTTTACAGGTGCTTGAGAACATCTCCCAGATCTTCTGCTTTTTTCCTAGTGCTTAGTAGGCTTCACATACACTCATTAGACATTACATGCCACCAACAGTTTAACCAATATTTTAATACCTTTCAATTTCAATGATAGAATGTTTTGTTGTTGTTTTTCTCCAGTAATAAGGCACTAATATTTGTCAAAACTATTCTTCACTGTGGCTCCAACCCAGCTATCCTTGCATTGTTATTCTGTGACTGAGCTTTCAAACATTTTGCATCCTTTTCGTGACTATTTGAAGAAGTTACAGGAATGCACTTACCTTTGTCACTGCTGCAGTGTTGAGTAAACTGTTCCTGGTGCAGCCAGGAAAATGCAAGGAGACTCTTAGCTGCAGGGTCTCTTCCATGCAGTGGCAAAGATGCCTCTTCTAACAGCTTGTTATTTATTGGGACTGTAGTGTTCAAACAAAATTCTAGGCAGGTCTTCATTTTTTATTGGAAAATTCAAAGTAATGGAAGCAAAATTTTTCCACTTCTATGGGAAAGTTGGAAGTACATCTGGTCCAGAGTGGGATTGGAACTTGGGATGGGAATCCTGTACATTATTACCAACTTGGCTAATCCTTCCAGCAATGAGAATCTGAAGTCCTTGAGCTTACTCCTGGAGGAGATTTCACCCTGAATCACCTCAAGCTTAGGTGCACGGCCCCACTGTTTGTGTAGCCTGTGTGTGCTTGGTCTCTTCTTGCTTCTTAAGGACTATGTCAATAGTACTTAATGTACCTTTATTGGAAGATTTTACTTAATGTTTGATGTGTGTGCCCTAATCTATATCTTGCTGAGCCTTATGTGCACTGTTATATGCATTTCTGAAAGCAGATAGATCTTATAACACTCATGAGGTCTGTCTATCATAGCACTGATGGCTCTTGGATCAGAACAGAAAAAATAAGGCAACCATAAGCCAGCTAGCTCACCAATCACCTAGAAGTTTGGTGGAAAAGCTTCAGCAAGATTTTTGGTTGTTTTAGCTGACATTGGATCTTCACAGTTAAAAATCCTGTGTTGTGATGACCATTTTCCTGACCTTTGTACAAAAAGTCCAACAACATTTTGACACTAGTTCCCTAAAATCTTGCAGTGTAAGAAAGTTGTGGCATAGATTTGGCCAGTAGATAGCTAAAGTCCTGAGGTAGCTAAATTTCTAGTGACTTTGGTAAATCATGACCTTGGTGTCAATAGTTTCTTTTCAGGTTTTGAACACACGCTAACTGTATGAATAGGTGTTCTCCTCTAGAATTACAAAATTAGTGTGTAAATGTGTGATAGTCTCAGAATCTGATCAGAACTGATTCAATCTGTCCAGAAGTAGAACTTCACTTCGATCATTAAGTTCCTTTAGTGTAGAATGTGGTCAGGTGGTTTTAATGCTATGAGACAGTAAATAAAATGGGATCATGTGGGTAGTCCAAAGTAGTATCAGTACTCCAGCTGACCGTGTCACTCTTACTTCCTCTATTAAATGCTGAGAGAAATGCCACTATGTGGCTGCTGAGACAGTTAGTATGCTTTTAAAGTGTTTGCAAGTTCTTGATCTGCTAATTCTTTATCTGCTAATAAGTATTAATCTACTCATAATTCTACAACAGTTCATTAACCTTGTAGGAAAAAACAGACTTAAGTTATTTCATGGGAGCCATATAGCTAACCCTTTATAAGGCTGGTTCAGTAATTTAGGATACATTTGGTGTGAAATAACAAAGAGTTGGAGTGACATATGTCTTTGGCAATCTCCTCCTGTGAGACAGACTCTTCCTTCTCCTTGGCACCCGATAGCTCCTTGCAGCTCTGAGCACTTGCTGAGTATAGATAACAAGGACTGTGCACAGCATTCTGGCTTCCATGCACCTCCTGTGTGTCAGAGTAACCTAGGGGAGGTGAGGGATTCTGGTTTGAAACAGATGGAGCCTGGTGTTCCAGTGAGTTACAAACTACAACAATCTTTAATGCTGGCCATAAACTACCATTGAAAGAAGCTCTACTAAGAAATAAGAGAGAGATTATCTTGTGTATAACAAAGATACCATATGTCCCATTGTAGTGTCAGTATTTTTTTTTTCTCGGAGTCAGTCTTTTGGCAAAGGCTGCCTTGGTTGCCTCAGCTCTAGTAGAACTGTTCTTTCTCCCTGTTGGGTAGTTCCACTGGCACCAGCTTCTCCCTGCGCTGGCTCATCCAGCACAAGGGGGTCTTTGTGTATTTACTGGAGAACAAAATAATAATAAAAAAAAACAAATAGATAAATAAATAAATTAAAATTGCTATTGAGTGTCAGTAGGACACGTTGCATGGGAGGACTGCCCCCAATCACCACCACCACCCCACAGGCTTTGCAAGGCCCATGCCCTGAGCCACAGCCAGAAGAGCGTGGGAACTATGCTGTCTTTCGGTTTGGGGCTGGTAAAAAAGTAGGTACACATCCTCTTTTGACACATTATGGGAGTCTGTGAACTGAAAAGGATGGGGAGATTAAGAGCACACTGATAATAAAAATTGAGTCTACAGGGCCACTAGGCTCAGTAAACACATGCAAAAAGCCCCCATCTAACAAAGCTCTCCAAACTCACATGGAGGCTTGAAGTACTGGAGACAGGGTCATTGTCCTTCCCTTTTCCTGACTGCAAGCCAAGGCATACAGCCCAAATGGGAAAGCAGGGCTCCCTCCTCCTCAAAAGGCCACTCAGCAAATGTGCTGGGGAGTCAGGCAGTCATTAGTGTTGCTGGAAACCACCATCCCTTCTGGGTCAGTCCTCCCACAACAACAAAGCATTTATTTTGCCAGAGAGATTAGAGATGTGCAAGCTCAAGCCTTGAAAAAACATGACTTTTCCAAAAAAATATCAACTTGTATTCCCTTTTTGTTAGAACACATCACTGAGAGGCTTTGTCTCTCTGGCACTGTGGGGATGCAGTCATGCTTTGTACTTACTCTTTAGCCAGTTCCATGGATATTTGCTCCAACGAGCATCCTTTCGTCTCTGGTATAAACACAATAACAAACGCCAAGGATGCTAGGCTCATTACTGTGTAAATGAAACACACCCAGGACAAGCCAATAAGCTCTATAAAGGAAAAAAGAATTCTTTAATTTTCAAATATTACTTTTTCTGCTGCAATCTTTCTATAGGATACAGCCCCAAACACATAGGAGATGTTAGAAAACAGGTTGTTATTCTTGGCTTTTTCATTTGTGCCTGGCTATAGCTTGAAATGTTTTTGCTTTTTCAGTCTTTATGAAAAACAAACAAACAAACAAAAAACTAAGCAACCCATATTGACCCATTTAGCATAAACCCATTGATTTATTTTGTTTGCTGTCACTTTGGATAGAAAGAGTGAGCAACCATTGTTGCTGTTTCATGCCAGGGCACTGGGGGTCAAAAGCGCCCTGAAATTCCACCCATGTCTGGTTTTTTTGCAAATTCTTTCATGAAGCAATAAGAGCATTTTTCACACTGTGGCAGTTGTCTCAGTTAATCCCACCAGGCTGTCAGTTCCCAGCATTTCTGCTGCAAGCTGTGGGTTCTGCATTAAAAAGAGACCCAAAGATAACTCCTAATGGGGCCAGCTAAAAACTCAGAGTTTTTGTGGTTTGGTTTTGTTGGCTTTTTTTTAAGTTTAAGGGGGCAGAAAGGACCTCAGGCTGAAGGAATGGACTCTGCCACTACTGTCATGTTCTTGGAAAGCTCACCTCATACAAGCTTCTGTATAGACAGGCCCTTAGTGTTCTTCCCTGTTAAATCTAAACCAGAATGCTGAGACACTTGTCAGTTGTATCATGAGCTAAAAATTGCAGCTGAAGCTTCTGTTCCAACTGCTATCTTACACATCACATACCTGCTGGCCATACTGACCTCCACATAAATTTGTCTGAAGACAGATTTTCCAATTCTGCCTTTCTACCCCAGACTGGGAACTTGTAATTGCATATAGTTACACTTTCAGAAATCCAGATCACATCTGCTAAACCAGCAAAGTTGCTGTGGATCTGCATTCACCGTAACTGAGACCAGAGCAATGGCTACGTATGCATTAACAAGTAGTGCTGCATGACAGGAAAGTAATTCCAGGTCATCTAGTATTCAAGATGCACACCATCTGATTTCAGGAACATCTCCTTAGCTCTAGTGTGGCCCAAGGTCTGAACACACATTTGCAGATAGAGAGCATTCACAGTGCATTTTCCCATTTGGTTTTGTTGAAAAGCAGTTCAGGACTGCTCTGTGATGGAGACCAAAGTGTCACAAGTGTAGACAACTGGAAAAATTTCTTCTGAAGAAGCTAAAGTGCCAGTGTAGACACACTGAACTTAACCTGGCATATTTTGCCCTAGTTCTGATAAAAGAGAACTTTTTCTCTCCCTCTCTCCCTCTCTCTCTCAGAAAATGCCAATGTGAAATTCATTTTAGTCATAGATCACACTTAATTTAAATATTCAATTTAAAAATATATCTGACAGGATGAAATCACCTCAACTTTTTGTGGATCTGATAACAGTTTCTTGCCTGCCTCTTCATCTGTTGCTGAGTTATGTAGAATTAAAGTAAATTTGGAATCTCAATACTCTCATATAGTTTGACTTTCAGCCCATATTTTCTTCAGAGAAAGATCGTAAACCAAAATTTGCAAAACTTCCTATGAAATTAAATTAGAAAAAAATATTTGCCAATCAATGAATTTCCAACTTGGCATTTAAGCCTTCCCCTTGATTATAAATTATACTATGGCAATCTACTTTCTTGTATTAAAACATGAAACACTTTTACCTTCCAAAGACACCTCTTTCTAAAAGAAATTTGCTCAAAGTCAGGATAATCCTGCAAAAAAAAAAGATTGATATCTATAGAACGTTCTCTTTTTTTTTTTTTTTTTTTCCCCTGAGGAAAACTATGTCTGATCCAAAAAGCTGTGATCTAATATAGAGCAGAACTTTCACTGACTTTAGAAGGAGCAGGGCTAAATCCTAAATATCATATATTTTCATCTTATTAAGGAAATGACTTTTTTAAAATGGTCTGTGGGAGACACAGAATTGCTACAGGCAGACTCAGAAAGGTGTGGAGGAAACTAACATAACATCAACATAGATCACCCAAGTAAGTCTCCGAGTTTGGCTCCTGGGCACAGTGGGTGCAATTTCAGCAGCACTGTTTGCATAATTGAGACTTATGTTATGTCCACGAGGAGAATATCAGCTCAGGAGAACACAGAGAAATCTTACCAGTGACAGTCAAAAATGTCAAGGAAATGAGAAGGTTTATTCCCCAGTTCATGCTAGATGTCAAAGCCATGGCCCGTCCCCTGATCCCACCAGGGAAAATTTCACTCAGGACCAGCCAAGACACTGAAATGGAAGGAAAAAAAGAGTAAAATATCTTTGAAAGGATGACTTGCTGTAACTTCAGATGGCTTCAGTTGGAGCCACCTGGCAGAATAAGGCAGTTTGAAGGATGCTTGGCGTGCATGGGCCCAGCCCCATGAGGGCCCACCCTGAGCAGTACCAGTGATGGGAACATTGTCACCTTCCAGACATTACCTGAGAAATAAGAAAGTCTGGGAGGTAACTGAGCCCTGACAGCACATCTGCTCATGAAAGGGAGCACTATAAACAACTCAGTGACATAATGCTGATGCGGCTGGGGCAGCAAACCAAAGTAATCCCAGGCTTCAGAGCATCACTGGGTGTTTCTTCCACCTTATAAATCAGCCCACCATGCTGAGGGAATTTCACTTTTCCAGTTCTCTGCTATGAATCACTTGAGATCGCTAAGGGATAACCGAAGGCAGACGTCCTGATTTTTGGCTCCTTCGTATCACACCATAATTAAGTGACCTCAGTTCTTGTGTTTCTGGTCGATAAAAAATTAATTCAATCATATAGAGCTGGCTGAATAGCAATCTTGGTGGCAAGAAAAAAAAAAAAAAAACGACACCACATTTTTGCACCATTCTTCGTTACCTAAAACAAGGATTAAAGCAAGCAGCTCAACTTCTCTAGCTCATAAACAAGATGCATTGTCTCAAAGTTGCTTTGTGAAGAAGTCGTAGGCTAGCAGGCAACCAGCAAAAGGGCAGAGAGGTACATGCAGACAAACTATATCTTCAGGCCCTAGGACATTACAGGTTGGTTCTCTGATAGATGTTTTCTGCAAGATAACAGATGGACACACACACCAGGTGGTCTTTAAGTTTTATTGAGAAACCTGACCTTCTGTGACCAAGCATGTGTCGTTCTGTGTTGTCCCTTTGGATGACTGCAGGGTTCCTCTGTGATTGAGGTGGCGAGGGTATGAAAGGAAAAATGCTGTGGAAGAGACTATAAGGACCAACTGAAAGAGAAAGAAACCTGAGCCTTAACTCAACAGAGTGGATTCCAGCAATCTCAGATTTAGATCTCTTTGTACCACAGATTCAAATTCAGTAATAATTTTTGGAGCTGACTCTTTTATGGAGAGTTACAGTGAGCTTCCCTCTCATGCTGGGATCCTCTTGGCACAGTGGTGATATTAGCCTATGTATAGGACCAGCATTCAAGACCATGATGCATTCAAGAGCTTGATGCTGTTACAGAGACACATGAGCATCATACAGTGAAAGCTGTAGAGAGACTTCTATTTTGCTGACTTGAATTACAGCAAATTCAATACACTCTGCTGAGAAAGCAAACTTTCATCTAAATAAATGGTTTAGTTTGAAGTTCTACATGGTCTCTAAAATAACTAAGGGGAGGGGGGGGGGGCAAGTGAAAAGAAATCTGGTATCTGAAGCAGATATTCTTCACTGTCAGTCCAGCTTGTCTGGCTCCTGAGCAAAGTCAAACCTTAGCAATGCATGACAACCTTGCAGCTGTGTTTTGTGCCGCTTCAGTATCAGGGCTGCTGAAACACAGATTGTTAGCCACAGCGATACAACACATCACTGCAGGAAGTGCCAGGCATAAAGCAACACAGAGAGCAAGCAGGATGCAATACACTGTTTCTAGCAGCAGGTAACCAGCCTGTGGGCTTCATTACCGTAGGATATCATTACAGCCAGAAGCCGATCAACACCGGAGAAATTGATTATACACCAAGACTGGCAAAGAAAATATTCATAGTGCAGGGTTAAAATAGACTCTGAAATAATTCAAATTTGATTTCTGCAGAGGACAGGCCAATCTCCAGATGACAGGATTAGGAATAAACCTTTTCCCTGGGAATTTTGTTCTATTTTTGCTCATTCAAGGGCTTTCTTGCATTCAAGCACTTGGCAGTGCCTGCTTGCAGATGCTCTGAAGGTGGACCATGTTCCATTTCTGCTAACGGGGCAAACCCTGAGCTGGGTAAGCATGAGGGGCTGCATTGTACCACAGCTGAAACTGCGATGCTGCAGCAGCTCCAATGCCATGCATTTTTGCAAGGATAGGTTGTCCCTTTTTGTCTTAATGTGATTCATCTATGGGGCTGAAATGTGATGTTTTCCTGCTAAGAAACCAAAATTCTTGAGCATTTGCATCAGCTAGAGTAGTGCTTAGCCATTATTATTTCAACAATCTATTTAGTTCAGGCAGGCTTACCAGATCTGTTCTTCATGTCTGCTAATGGTAGCTGCTTCCTCTGGCATGCCTCTGACCTCCGCTTAACTGGCTAGGAGTGGAGAGGTTTATTTCCCCGAGAGAAATAGCAATTGTAGAAATCCGACACTTATTACATTCTGTTTATCCCCTTCCCCAAGCTGAGGCAGCGATAACGATCGATTTTTTGCTTTTAGCACCTCTCTGGGATTGTTTTTACTATTTGTACCGTTGCCAAAAAGCAGCAGCTGCTGTAGGTACAGAGGGATGTGGCTTTCTCCTGGGGAGCCGGGAACTAGGCTCTGCTCCCAGTCACAATGGCTGCTGCTACCTTGTGCATGCAGCCCTCAGAAATTTAACCTGCACACTCCCATAGTCTCCGCAGAGAGAACTGGCTTCTGTGCCTCCACCAACCTAAGCAGTTGCATTGTACAGGGGAAAACAGCCCTTGTTTGAAACCAGGGTTCCAAATCCCCTCCCACCACCACCTTTCTGTCTTCTAGAGAATCCTACATTACTGCAGAAAGACACTGCAGTAAGAACCACACTGAACACACACAACAGTTTTCAGTGACTGATTCAGCAGCCCCAGCTGCTGTTGGTTGAATAGATGGGGAAAGAGCTGGTGCCTTCCAGTTCAGGTGGGATAAGAAGTGAGGCTCAGAGCCCAGAAGGAGTCTCTGTGAAAGAGGATTTGTTCATGCAGAGGCTGCATGTAGCATTCACTTCACCGACCTGTGGGGAAATTGTACAATTGAGTGATCTCTTGTGGCAAAATCTGGAGAAGAAAAACCACCTAATGGTTGTTTGTGGATGTGGTTAATACAAAGAAAACATTGGTCTGCATTGGAAGGCTTTTAACTCCGAGCACAGAAGTTCCTTACCCAGATGGGAAGAGCAGAGGATGCAGGTACAACACAGTCACTTGACGGATTGGGACAAAGTACAAGAGACTGCAAAGGAATAATAATTATAATGATGGTGGTAGAAGATTTCAGCTACTCCCATTCAGACTGTATAAACAGAAAGACGAGGTACATTGCTGGGCCTACATTTTATATGGCATAGATTATGGTTCCTTTTAGCCATTTACCTGATAATTAATGAGAGAATAAAAATGTCTCGTGTTTTAAAGCTGAGCAGTTGTTCAAGGTGTAACTGTCCCAGAGATGCTCTGTAACATTTCAAAATCAAAATCAAAATTATTGTAGAAATGAAAAGAGCCTACCATAATATTTTGTTTCGAAAGGAGAACGATATTAGAAAAAGCATGATTTCTGTAAGGAAATTAACAGGGCTGTTGGAGAGAGTGCTCTAGTGTTGGTATGGAGAATGTTTGTTATCTGATTAGAGGCTTAAAAGATAGGTATATGACTGAATAAAACGAAAAGAAATATCTCAGCACAGTAAAACAACTGAGTGAAGAAAGCTGTTAGAAATACAGTAGTGCCTCCCATAAATGTCATACCCCTGACTTGGATGTGCTGTGTGCAGGTTTGGTGAGCTCAGAGCTATAAGTGCCACATAGAAAGCTGTGGAATTGGCCCTGAACACAGCAATTAGGCAGATGAGGACTCCAGCTTAGAAAACAGTGGAGGGAAATAGACCTTACTTACAACATTGTGAATGTGAACAGGAGAGAGGTTTACATTGCTTTTTAAAAGACACAAACCAGGAAAAGTTGAGTGAAGTCAGCAGGAACAGCTGTTAGGGGAGACAGGAGAATATGTTTCTCCTGGCAATGCTTATTTTAACTGCAAAACTGGCTTGAACAGGATGCTTCATATGTGAAAAATATTATTGAGTTAAAATGACGAAACACTGGATATTAAAACAATATTTCCCTTTGTGTGTGGAAAAGGATTCATCAGGACTGTCAAACAACAGTAGAAATATATCTCCAGCATTGTTCTCAAAGACCCAGAAAGACTTGCTGTGCATGTTGCAGGTGCCTTCTTTTTACATGTTCCCTCAGCACCTGCTGCTGGCTGTAGATGGAGATAGGTAATGGACTGAGAAGCCCTTTTGTTTGAGCCAGTGTAGACAATATAATAAGCTTTACATTAGGGCCATAAGTAAAGAGGTGTCTTAGACCCTTGTGTGATTTCTTCCTTATTCTATTCATGCAGTAAGTAATAAACAATAATAATAATTAAAAAAAAAATCTCAGACTTACTTCAGAGAAGCAGAAACATCTGAGAATATCTAAGCAGTGCTGTGAGGTTGAGATTACTCAACATTCAAGATACATGAATGAAAAATGTCCTTTTTTTGTCCTCATCCCTGCCAGGAGGCAGAAGCAAATTGGAAACTGCTCAGCAGCTCTCATTAATGAAATATTAGATCCATTGCTATTGATTTGCTGCTTAGCATTTTTTTTTCCTTTCCTGTACCTGTATTCTGAGAGATCAAGCTCTATGTGGTGAAATTTAGAAGCAGCTGTTGGAATTGTTGAAAGAATTCAAGTTGCTGAGGTACAAACCCTGGAAAGAGATTAAGTGGGTTTACAGCTTAGCAGGGAAGTAGCAAGAAGTACATAAGGCTCTGGAAGGAGTGTAGCAACCAGAGATCCAAGCAAAGAGAAGGATGGGATTATCCCACCAGCAATGCAGGCAGACCCTCTAAGAACATGTAACAAATTAACAAAATTAAGGAAGAATGCAAGCAAGCACCTGTGGAGCTGCCATGAGAAGAAGGAATTCAAAGGACGTATCTTTACCAAGACCACGTTTTTCCAGGCTCATGACCTTGCCTGAGATTTTCATGTACATGGTTTCTGGACTAAAATTCTG